AGCTTCTTCAGCAGCCTCTCTGAATGCAAAGTCAGGATGGGCAATTTTCACAAAATCAGCCTGACGCAGTAAAAGAAGAAAATAATGAGTCACAAAATCATATTAAAAAAAATTAATTATAAACAAAGTTGCACTTGAATAGTTCTACTTATTGCTTATTGGTACGGTTCTGTATAACCTACTTCAGTAATTTGCACTTTTTTCCCTCAAAAATAAATCTTACTGAAGAACTGTGCTAACAAGTTTTAAAGCAGACAGTGAGTGAGTCTTTCCAAAAATATCTTTAATCTATGTACTTCTTTAAACTGTCTTGGTACAGTTGACCCCTTAGAGTCCCAGTCCAAATTGCTTCTAGATAAAATTCTGCAAGTAGGATAGGCCATCTTTGAACACAGACAACTGAAAGCAGCTCACAGGAGGAACCAAGATACCTTTAATTCAGCAAAGTAAAAAAAAACTATGATTCCTGAATTCTAACACTAAGGGCTTCTGTTACGTATTGACTGATTAAGAGGAAATAGTTCATGCTATAAAATAATAGAGAAAAGAGAATGAGTGTGTAAGTACTTTCAGAAATCACAGAACCATGGAATGGCCTGGGTTAATAATAATCATCTAGTTTCAACCCCTGTCACAAAAGAGGTCTTGAAAAGAACAAGGAAAAAGATTTGAAAACTGAAACCACGAGAAATTCAAATATGAAAACCAACGGCAAAAAATTCAATGAGATATTATTTATTAGCAACTGATTTCAGCTGGGAATGCTTTCTACAGATAAAGAGCAACCTTCTTCTAAAAGATACACTTTGGACAATTTCTAGTGAGCAACAAAGAGCACATGGCAAAACTCAACATTTTGTGATAAAAAACCTAGTTCTGTAATTCTGCAGACACCAGAAACTGCAGTCTAGGAAAACAGTTGCATTGTGGTAATAAAAGGCAACAGTATTTCCAACCAACAAGTTATGCAGTCCCCCATCTTCTATAACATAACTGATGCTGGAAAGTTTATGTACTGATATTACCAGCAGAAATAGTAAAATACTCCTCTGATTTCAGCTCTGTTTTTCTTGTCATGGCTTCTGCATTGCTCCTACATCTGTCCTAAAATTAACCAGACAGTTTGACAGGATTTGCAGCTAACTATATTCTGTTAAAGCCTTTGTAATTAACTTTCACTCAATTTACTTTTCAGTCTTAATACAAAACCTCACAGAGCTGATCTGCTATTTACTGCAATACTAAAAATGTGAAATGAAACAGAACAGCGTAACGTGTAAAGTCAGTCAGTTTAAAAGGAATTGCTTAAAATAGTAATAAAAACTAACTTACCAAATCTGCTACTCTGCACAAAGCATCTGAAAGCTGATCAAAGATCATTACAATCTCAGGCCCAGGTGGTGTTGAACATGCCTTCTGAACTAGCTGTTCTGATTCTTGCAATGCTTTGTCCTGTGCTTCTTGAAATCCTTCTGGACAACTCAGTTCTGGAACATCAAACAGACCCTGCAGTGCAGAACATAACAGAAACATATTGCTATCACCTTCCTTGTTTTCTGCCTCTTTGTTTCAGTACGAAATTTCCACTGTGAAATGTTACCAGAATGATCCCTCCAACACAAGTATCCTAGTAGAGCTAAAAGTCATAAAATCAATTAACATCAGCCAAAGATAGTGGCATCATACACGAACATCTTCACTTTCCAGCATCACCCTTCAAAGAACATCCTCACTGGAATTCTTTCAGCCAAGATTCTTCCCAGCAAATGGAAAGAGTTTGATATAAAACCCACACAAACTTCTCCTGTACCATCCTGTAACTTGCTGTACTGTCCTTCCTTCCAGAGCACAAACACGTGACAAATCATAAGTCTTACGTTCTGAAAATAGGGAAAATCATCCTTGTGAAGCAAAAAGACCTATCAAGGAAAGCGAAGAGTAAAGGGGGGTGTCAAAATAGCAAATGAATGTCTTGACCAGGTGTTCCAGATACGAACAGAACACAGATCTCCAGCTCATGAAATGAGCCCCAAGCTCTGGAAAAAGATCTCAAGGGAATGACAGGCAACAACTCAAAAAAAAAACGGTATGAACAGTTTTGCTCCTGACTGTTTTTTTATCAAGTCTGTCCATGTCCCACAATTCAGGGTAAGTACACTGACTGAGCACAGCTTTGGCAGGGCAGACATGGTCAGCAGTTACACACTGCACTTACTGAAGAGAGTTAAGAAGTTCCTGCTGTGGATCACACAAAATTGCTAACACTACCTGCTAGGAAAGTCCTACAGTACAGAGCCACAGTAGGAAAACAAACAAACAAACAAACAAAAAAAACACCTCTAAAAAAGATAAAATAGTAACTCTAAAAGCAGTACACTACAACTCCCTTTGCAATTGCCCAACCACAATACAAGCATCTCTATGGCTTGTCTGTAAAAGCATATGTTCTGAAGAAGCATCATCAAAAATAAGCATTTGTGACATTCTGAGCTGCTTTGTTCTATTCTATTCCTGTTGCTAATGCAATCACTTTTTCATAATACTCTTAACACAAGTTGGTCACCCTAAGACAATCTTTTTTTTTTCACTTCCCATGTTTTCATTTGTTATATGGGGACAGGAACCAGACAGCAATAGAGAACACTGGAAAAATACATATATATTTATGTGTATGTCAGCAGATGCACACGTATGCATACATGAATTACAGTGCCCTTCAGTAATGTTTGTTGCATAAGACTCAAGGCCTGGCCGCTTTAGTCTGCTCCAGATAGTTGAGGACCTCTGCTCTGCAGATCCTGAGAGCTTAGGAGCTTGTGCAGCCCAGAATCACCATTTATCCTTGGCAGTGAGCACACAGCTCACTGATGCCCTCTGCAATTAGAAAGCATCTCCTCTTCGACACAAATTAGCTGAGAAGTTCCTCTTCAACATCATACAGAACTAAACATAAAAATTAGAGGAAAGAAAAAGCCCGGTGCAGTTTTGCAGTTTTCCATATTCTTCACCTATGTGATTGCACAGCTGCTGCATCGCCTCTTTGCTTTGGCATCTGCATTTATACCCTACGCGTTTTAACTTCTAAGCAAACCTGTAATAAATACTTGTACTCCTACAGAGCTCTTAAGCCTCTCCAAAGGCCAAGAAAATACAGAACCCTTTCTCTAGAGCAGGCAAACGCACAACATTTAGCTGGATCTTTTCCTAGAGCAAGACCTTTGTCAGTGCACTTGCAAAGGGAGGGGAAGAGATGAAAAGTGTTTCTCAAACAAATGCTAGACTGTAAACAGCAGTCAGAACTGCAACAGTGGCTGAATCGCTTAGTCCCAGTTCAACAGTCTCACTGCTGCAGAAACAGGTGATTTGGAGCACGAACGCCTGGAACTCACAGGTATTTGGCATACTCAGCACTGGTGAGGCCACACCTCAAGTGCTGTGTTCAGTTTTTGGCCCCTCAGTACAAGAAAGGCAGTGAAGCCATGGACTGTGTCCAGAGAAGAATAATGAAGCTGCAAAAGGTTGTGATCACAAGTCCGATGAGGAGCAGCTGAGGGAACTGGGATTGTTTGGTCTGGAGGAGATTCAGGGGAGACCTCATCACTCTCTACAACTGCCTGAAAGGAGGCTGTGAAGAAGTGGGGGTCAGCCTTTTCTCCCAGGTAACAGAGAATGGCCTCAAATTGTGCCAGGGGAGGTTCAGGTTGGATATGAGGAAAAACTTCTCAGAAAGAGCTGTGAGGCTGCCCAGGGAAGTGTGGAGTCATCGTCCCTGGAGGTGTTCAAGAACCACGTGGTTGTGGCAGGGAGGGATGCAGTCAGTGGGCACGGTGGATACGGGCTGATGGTTGGACTGGATGATCTTAGTGGTCTTTTCCAACCTTCATGACTCTGTGATTCTGTGTATCTGCATGCACAGTGCCATCAAGACTGCCATCCTATGCTGGTCAGGAGCTTGTTCAGATTCTTAGGATCCTCATAAACAAACCTAACTGACTCATCCTAAAAAGAAATACATCAGAAAGCCCGAGTGTCACCCACCCAATATGTAATTTTTGCAGTGAGCCACTTAACGTTACGAACAGTATCCACATACAGTGATGACAGCTAATTCAGTCTAATTCCAAAGCACTGCTGAAGAGCACGGACACAATACTGATAAAACAATATACAGCCAAGCAGCAGCTCCGCACACAAGGCTAAAGACACAGGCACCCAGGCACCCAGGCACACAGGCACACAGGCACACAGGCACCCAGGCACCCAGGCACACAGGCACACAGGCACACAGGCACACAGGCACACAGGCACACAGGCACGGCTCCCTCCGCCCAGCACCCGGTTTCCTCAGATCCCGGAAGAGGCCGCAGTTCGGCCCCGTGGTTTCCAACACGCCGTGCACGCAGCGCGCACCTCCCACACCACGTCCCGCATCCTCCGGCTTCCGCGATCGGCGCAGGCCCGCCGTCCCCTGCCCTGCCCTTGCCCTCTCCCTGCCCTCTCCCTGCCCTGCCGTGCCGCCGCTCACCGTTTCCCTGCCCGCCGCGCTCCTGCGCTGCTGCTTCGCATCGAAGGCGGCACCCACGGGGCACCAGCTGGTGCTGACGGCCCGCCGTCCCGGCGCCCCGGCCGCCCGGCCCCGCAGCGCAAGGCCCAGCGCCGCAGGCAGCGCTCGCCGGCAGCCGGCCAGCATGGCGGAGCGCGTTAAGGCCGGCGAGGCGCTCGGGAGCTCGGCTCCGGGCACGACCGCGAACTCTGCGCGTTCCGGCCTGAGGCGAGGAGCGGCGCTCGCGAGCGGGAAGCGGAGCGGGAAGTGGCGCCTCCCCTCAGCCCGGCCGGCCCCGCGCTGCCTCCCCGCGGCCGTGCGTTGGAGCTGACGAGAGCGGCTTAGGACGCCCGACTGGGTCAAGGAGGAGTTCAACGCTCTTTGCATTTATGCCGTTTCTGTCGTCTCGATCCGTGTTTCAACAGATGGGCATGAGAGCTGTTTGTTTTCTGCTATATTCAGATGGAATTGGCCAGCGGAAACTTTATTGGGGTGTACTGAGGGACACAGGCATATGGTATTAATGGATGGAACAAACAAAACATGAGACATGAAATAAAATAAGGATTAATCTCTAAAAAAAAAAAAAAAGAAAGAAAAGAAAAGCAAGGAAAAGTACTAAGTAAACCAGCATCGAGTTTGCTTGCAGGCTGGATGTGGCTCTGGGCAGCCCGGTCTGGTGGTTGACAACCCTGCAATATAGCAGGAGGGTTGGAAATAAATGATCATTGTAGTCATTTTCAACCCAGGCCACTCTATGATTCCATGAGTTTCATAAAGAACCTCCACCTCTTTGAACAGTAAGATTTGGGTGAGCAGAAATCAGACAACAATTCACTCAAGTCACAGATTAACAGCGTGGCTTCATGCTGTGAGTTCCGGCATCTCAGAGGTGCTGAACAGGAGGAACCCAGTGAAGGTGGTATCATCATCAGCATCTGCAAACAGCCCATTGAAGCTCTCTCCTCGGTGAGCCTGCAGCCACACCTCATCTCCTGCCCGTAGCTGAAGGATGGCAGCTCCCGACGCCTGGTCCTCAGCACCCTGGTATCCATCCATGGTGTGCAACATCTTGATCCCGTTTTTGACTAGAGCTACTCGGACATTCCTCGAGTAGACAGTGATATGGTAGGTGAAATAGTAAACACCAGAGAATTTGCAGGTGAATTTGCCGGTAACTGGATTATAGTCACTTAGGCCATTATAAAGCACCTTGTCGAACTTGATTGGGTGACTGTGGGGAGGAAACTTGGTGGCAGCTGTAAGGCCTACACTGAAAGCACTCCTTGGCAGAACTGCTGGGGCACCTGTGTTTCCCTTGTCTCCTCTGTCTCCTTTCAGGCCTCTCTCCCCCTGAATTCCTGGACTGCCCGGTGGCCCCAGATCTCCAGTATTACCTTTAGGACCCGGATTACCAATAGGGCCAACTGGCCCTGGCAAACCAATTATTCCAGGATGTCCAATTTCACCCTTTGTCCCTTTTGGACCTATGGGCCCAATGTCTCCTTTTAACCCCTTTTGTCCTTGCAGTCCCAGCTCTCCCTTCTGACCTTTGTAACCCACTGACCCTATAATTCCTTTTGGTCCTAGTTTCCCAGGTCGTCCTCTTTCTCCTTTATCTCCTTTGTTCCCCTTCTCTTCAACAGTTCCATTGGCTCCTAAGTGGGAAAACCAAAAAGTCCAGTGGATTAGTGAGTCAAAACATGAGTTTCAGCACAAAAACATATGTGTATGTCACCACTATATACACCGTGCTCACCACATGTACAGTGTTTCATACATGTGAGTTCAGGATAAGACAGAAAAGCCTGCTATTACAATAGAAGATAGGGGCCTTTGCTGAAAGCAACAAAAATAAGCTCAAAGAAAGGAAGGTGTGATTAGTCTACAGGCTGCTGATAGCACTGACAGCTCGGATCATCTCATGTACAAACAGCATCTGTTCAGACCCATGTTCTCAGCCTTTGCTATATGTGAGGTAGACAGTTTGCAATTTCATCAGAGAATCTACTACTTGAGCAACACACAGATATTACTTGCCATGAGTTTATATAGTTCCTACATGATGGGACTTTGTTTGGGTTACCTAGATTGCTGTTGAATTGCAACTGAAAGCTTTTTGTATTGGTATTTGCTTTCACATGCTCCATTTATTCTTCATTCACACTTGGAATGAATCTCAAAGCTTTTGAAAATCCATCTGTACAAAGTTTTGCAGAGAAAAGCCTTATATTTTGAAGGGCACATTAGCAACTGATAGATGTAAGTGCTAGAAGATGCCATAATGTCCATACACTCAATCAATCAAAGCCAGAGTCTGATCATTTCTGTGTGAAAGCTTGTGGCTTTTGGTATTTGGAATAATACTGTATGTAAAATGTGAACTTTACAGTTCTCAGCTCAGAGTTGAGAGTATTTGGCAGCAGCAACTAAGTAAAACCATGAAATTCTGTGAAATTCTCTTGGAAAAAAAGCACAACAGATCCAACAGGCCACTGACATGGGAAGATAGCTCTGTAATGCTTAACATTTATGTTTTCATGCCTCCCTCTCCTTCCTTCTAGTAGACTGAGGAAATGTCTGAGAGCTGTAGAGCAGACCGTCACTACTCCCATGCAGTGCATATTCCATGGTGTATTTCAGAATAATCCTAAGGATTTTGGAGAACCTGGGTGCAGTATTTGGCAGATTTCAATGCTTTTGGAAATATAAATTGTCTATGCACAGTTACTCCAAAAGCTGCGTAAGTCCAGCATCACCAAGTTTCTGAATTTGTGTTCCAACTTGCACAATGTCTCATTGCTTGCTTTTATTCACAGATCATCAGGAGACTTTCTAGATGTGTGTAGTTTGGCTAAGCATGTAGTGTAGCCATTTTCTAGGCCTTCATGGCTTGGGTTGTTGGGATTATGGAAAAATTTATGGTTGCTGTGATGAGATAGGAAAAACATCACAAGAATATAGGAAATGGGATCTGAGGTGAGATGCTGGTTTTATAGAATGCATGGCTACTCTTGTCCTGTGGTCTCTGGGGGCTGCTTTAAGCCAGGATGCTGGGGCTAATGCCTCATGGGCATATATTTTAAAATACTACTGAAGATGCTGGTTTAACTCTGGGCTGTTTCACAGAATCACAGAATTGTAGGGGTTGGAAGGGACCTCCAGAGATCATTGAGTCCAACCCCCCTGCCAAAGCAGGTTCCCTACAGCAGGTCGCACAGGTCGGCATCCAGGCAGGTCTTGAACATCTCCAGAGAAGGAGACTCCACCACCTCCACTCCACCACCATGTTTGCATAAGGTGTGATTACACAGAGGCGTGGAAAAGGTGCAGGAGATTAGAATCGTGGAATTATCCCAATTAATCCCAAATTGGAAGGGACCTACCTGATTGATCTTATTGAATAACAGGATCTACTGTATTTTCAAGTGTACAACTCATGTCTTTTGTAATTCTTTTTGAAGTACCTTTGCCTGAAGGTACATACATGCCTATGGGAGCTTCAGTTTCCTTGGATAGCTACAGATGTGATGTCTGCCTCAGCAGCTGACAAAGGGATGAGCAATAGGAAAGGTGAAGTCATAGGCTGAGCAGATAAGTTATATGGCATCAGAGGCAGCAGGGTGACTGGAGGGAGCAAATCTCTCTTGTACTGTCAGCCTCTACCCCTTCTGAAAAAAGCTTGCCATGGTTTTATGATTTTTGGTTATTGTATTCCACATCATAACATCATGTAGTGCACTAGGAGTTAAACTTTAACACTACATTGCTACAGCTAGAGTGTATAGCATGTCCAATGCTCATAAACCCATAGGCCACTAACAGATTGAAGTGCTCTGACCTTTTTGTCCTTTTTCTCCATTTGCACCATCTTTCCCTGGAGTGCCAGGAAGTCCTGCTTCCCCTAGTACAGAAGAAAAAAACAGATCTTCATTAAACAACTGTAGTACCAGAAAAAATGGGATTTGAATCCTTCTCTGATCATTCCTCTTCAAGTTTGGCTAAACAATAATGTAGTCATTTCATTCCTGACTTCCGGTGCATGCCACTGCTGAGGCTTTTGTCTCATTGGGAGAACAGAAACTCTGCTTGGGAAGAGCACCTTTTTGAGACAGAGTTCTTAACATAAAGAAGGGGAATACTGAAGTATGTGAAGGAGTATGCTGGTCAACATCAGTGAAGTGAAAACCTCTTGTCCTCTTGTTGCCTTCATCCATGGAAGATGACATGGAAGATACCAGCAGGAAAAGGAGTGAGGAAGCTACTTTCAGAAAAAAAGCTTTACCCTAACAAAAAGCCTCAAAGTGAAACAGTGATTAACTGCCCCCAAAGAAAAGACATCTTAATGTAGACCTGACTGTCAGTGGCTCAGAGCAGACAGTAAGCAGCAGGTAACTTTCTTACCCAAACTGTAAGTGCTGATTATTTTTCAGCTGATCTAATTTACTGTGTAGGCACACAAAGAGTTGTGGTGTACTGGAGAGGGGAGTGAAGGGGTGGCAACAAGATCTAGCAGAGGTTCCTGCCTGCACCATTATTGCCACCAAAGAAATGCAGTCAAATTACACCTTCAGCACTGATTGCAGCACTCGCTTCCTATGGAGGCACAGGTTTTCCTGGCAAAGAAAGTGATTCATTAGCTTTTGGGTTGTGACTGCGCCAGTAACTCTATTTAGGTCAGGCATTTCCTTTGGCTTAAAAGGCATAGTAAAACATTGTAGCATATTTCAAGTTAATTTCTAGCAGACTGTTGACCTCAGTTTGTTTTGCGTACTGGGTTATGTGCTACACTGAAAAAAAAAAAAAAAAGAAGAAAAAACAACCAAAAGCTGTGATTCACAATCTGCAAGATCAGGATGGCAGAAGGGTTTATCTGATGAGCACAGTTTCAATCTGGATTGATTTGTGCACACAATAGGACTGTTCATGACAGGTTTATGCATTAAGCCACGACGCCCACTGTGATGCCACACAGTTGCTGACCTGACCAACAGCCTGTTGGGGGAAAGCTTTTCCTACCAAAATTTGTGAGCAGATATGAAGCAGATTTGTGTTTGTTCTGTGTTTTGCGTTCTGGACCTGTGACATTTCTGATGAAGTGTTGTAAGTCCTTGTCTGCGAGTTCATCCTCTGGTAGATCCCTGGCCTTGATGATGCAGCATGGATGCAAAGGGCAGCCTTATCCTGAGGCTTAAATTACCACAGGAGTTACTGTCTTCGGCCTGAGAAGGTTTCCTGTCTTCAGTATTATATGCAAATCTCTCTTACAGCCTACTACAGCAAGCATGAATCCTACACTGTTTTTTAGATAAGGTCCTTCCCTCCCCTTCAGTGTAATGGTGCTTATGTTACAGCAAGTAGGGACTCTGAATCAAGTCCTACAAATGTAAAATGTTGGTAATAAATAGAAGTCTTCTTACCTCTGCACATTTCTTTTTACACTTTTTTTTTCTTTTAATTGGGCTTGATTTTTTTTTCTGAAAGTATAGTTGCTATTTTAAAGATGCAGAAATATGTTTACAGGCTTCAAAATGTTTGAGCAGACCTGAAAATATTCCCTAAACAGAAAGTAAAGGCTTTCATTTTTGAATCTGTTTTTGTTGCTTGGACCTGACCTCTCTATTATCTCTATTTTGCTTTCATTAGGTATTATCTCATATCTCCATCCTCAAACCAGAAGGTGATGGAAGCCTGAGATGTTTTCTGAGGGCTAGCTGGACTAATCTATTAATGCAGGGTGCCAGGCATCTTTGGGAAACTAATAGCAAACTATTTTGTACTTCCAACTCTCTGTGTTGAGCACAGTACCTGTGTCTCCCTTGTCGCCTTTTGAGCCATCACGTCCGTCACGACCAGGTATGCCATTGTGCCCAGGATTGCCCGGAATGCCAGGATATGCTTGGGTACAGATATCCTGCTTTTGTGCTTCTTCTGTGCTGACTGCGATAGCCAGCAGTATAATCCAGCTTTTCATTCTTTAGAAAGGTTAAACGATCTTGGCTGAAAGATGTAAGAAAGGAAAAGTACATTTACTTAAGTCTGTCTGATTGGTTTTTTCCTCACATTTAGTTTGTGAGCCCAAAAACAGTGTTGGGGAGGGAGGAAAAAGAAATGGGCTTCTCAACATATCTCTTGTTTTGTTTTGTTTTATTTACAGGTCTCTATATAGCAGTAAATACCATCCTTGACACTACTGGGCTTTATTTCCAATAATAATTGAATGGGAATATCAGACATACCTTTGTCATATAGGTTCTGTCTCGTATTTTCTTATACAGTGTGACCAGTGGAAGTAACTCTGCAAGGACTGTCCGTACAGATACTGATGCAGGTAGATGGGGAGCAGCTGAAAATCACCAAAGCTCTGGGGAAGCTGAGGGCTACCCCTCATGTCCTCGGGATCTAGCCAGCAACCAACAGCTCAATACCTCCCACTGGGTTTCCCACTGTTCTGTTTAAACCATCAGAGTACTGACAAAGCATAGATTTTGTGAATATGGTTGATCTTAAACTGTATTTCAAGATCATAATGAAAAAGCAGAATTGATCATCACACTTCCAGTGATTTGATTTACTCTGACCAACAAAACTCCAATGTCTGGCAAGTCCACGAGGAAATGTGCTGTAGTGGCTGTTCTAAGGCCTAGGGCACAGGCAAGATTTCAAGCCCTGGGGGGTTGATTCAAGTAAGAGTAGTGACCCTACACTCATACACAAGGATTCATACAACGTCCTGTTCCTTTAAGCTGCTGTTCAGCTTATATATAACATACAGGCACTCTTTGTCGTAATTTCTACATTCCCCTAGCCAGAGCAGCACTCACACAGGAGCTGCTTCATGGCTGCTGCTGCCTGACAGAAGCCTGTCTACAGCTTCAAGCTCACTCCTTCCTTTCTGAAAGGTTTGATAAAAACAGTACCCTACCCATTTGAAGTCAACATACCTCTTCTCTCAGGGCTCCAGATCAGATAGTGTTGGCCGTTAATAACCCAGTATTTATCTAACAGCTTCTTAAGGGAAAAATAATATAACTGAGCCAGTCAGGCAGTTTGCAACTGAGAAAAAACAGGGCTTCTCCATCTAGATTTCTTCATGACTCCTCATGGCTACAAGTTTGTACCTCTCGTCTCCCACGAGCTGCCTGCAGGAGGTGAGCTAAGGTGATTCAATCCCTTAACTTGGCACAAAACAATAGCATTTGTTGCTGTTGTTGTTTCTTCCCTTTTATCACAGTTAGTCTTTTTCTGGGTTAATAAGTTGAATGACCTCACAAAGGGTCAGAGCTGAAGCAGAGTGAGATGAGGACAAAGATGTGAGGAATCAAATAAGAATTTTTTTGCAAAAGCAGATCTTTAGTCTAGTTCTCCCCCTCTCATTTAACTGTGCTTCATAAAATCCAGCTTATTTTCACACTTTCATTAGGGAGCCCTTGCTGTTTTATGGCTTTGAGGAGAGGTCCACTGAACAGGAATTGGACTTGCCAATTACTCTTTATAAAAGTAATTAGTGGGAAGAAGTTAAAAAGAGGGACAAAAATGAAATAGCAACAAAATTAATTGCAAAAACTAGTTGCAACAAAATTAGTATTTTATTTGATGTTATTATCTTTTAACTAATGCACAGAAGCTTAGCCTATGGAGGTTAATGGTAGTCAGAATAAGTACATTTTATCTAATTGACTTTAAATTATTTCTTTCATGAATAAGAATGTAAGGCTAAGATCAGTTTCCTTTTGAACTACTAACTAGGATTGTGACATTTCAAGTGACCATGTCAGAGAGACACCAGTATATATTCTCATTAACAACAATTGCAACTTGGTAGGAATATTCAATGTAAACATTCATTCAGTTTATAGGGTAGGATAGCCCCACATTTCTAACACATCCTTTAATATTTCCTCCTGTTTTCCAAAATATTCCCTGTTTTGCAGCAGTTATGTAAATGTTGTTGGCGGTGCCTTTGCCAGCAGCATACAAAGTGGTGTTTGGTCACACACCAGCAAAATCTCTCTTCATCTGCTGCTGGTTTGTACCAAAGGGGAGTTGAAAATACGTCAAACTTTTGCTATTTCCGAACTATAAACATTTGCTGCCTTAGTCAAAGAAGTCTACAGGAAAATGAAAGGAAGAAGTGCTGTATGGGATGCTGTTAACATATGAATTACCCCATGGGGAAGTCTGACAGTCCTTGTCCTCCCACAGAAAATTCTATTCCCAGTTGTTCAAGGTATTCTTTTGTGCCTAAGCATTTCATCCCCTTACACGCACTTCTCAGCACACAACAGCAATATCAGCATCAGCAGCAGCAGTGTATATATCATATCTTTGCTCTTACCTCATTCACTTTGTACTTGCAATGTTCTTGGGCATCTTTCAGTATTACATAAAAGCTTCCCGTAAGGGAATGCAGGCTCCAGATATGTGCCTTGAGGACAAGCACTTGTTTGGTCACTGAATTCTCAAAGGTCAGTGATTTCATTTTGAGAGCTGTTCAATAATTAAAACAGAGCTAAACTGGAATCTCTCTGTTAATTCCAATAGTAAGCTGAAGTGCTCTGTACTTCAGCTTTTGCCACGGTTATGTGAAATAAAATTGTTAGGATGAATCAATAAAGCTTTGATATGCCTGTTCCATTATACAAATGTGTTATTTAAGTTTGTAGGACAGAACACAGGTCCCATGGCGTTATTTTAGCAAAGGAAACTTACAAAGGTCAGTTAGCAGTTTATGATGGAAGTGGGGACAAAAAGAATATAGAAATTACAACAAAATTAAAACCGTGAATGTGACATCACCAATGTTAGGTGATTATGGAAAAGAAGTAACAGGGCTGAGTTAAGTAAAGAAATTGGATGGCAGAGCTTTTCACGTGTAGTTAGCAAGCTCTCCATTGCTGTTTGAAGGGTGGGTCATAGTTACAGCACCTCTGAGTTTATGACCCAAATTTGAAGAAGCCATAACTTGATGCTTCAGTGCATCTTATTGACATTACTGAAACTGCTGCTCTCTGAGGACTAGCAGGAAAGCAACTCAGTGTATCATCAGCTCCACAAATGCTGATCATGAACAGTGAAGAGTGAAAACCATTAGTAAAAGGAGTTAATGATATAAGAAGTGGCCTCAGTTCACCCTGGTTGCTGCAAGTGATTGAAAACCTTGTGTCCGGGGTGGTTCCTGCACTGCAAACAGCTGACGAACCTGGTCTGTCCATTGAACAACCTTTTAAAAATCCAGAGCACAGCTGAGCAGTGAATGGTTTTCACTAAGATCTTCACCCCCACCCCGTGGTAATAAAAAATATTACAAGCTTTATGGTGAGAAAAAGGGCACTGTGCAGCAATTAGCTGCTCTCCTTGAATCATAGAATCATTGAATCACCAAGGTTGGAAAAGTCCTACAAGATCGTCCAGCCCAAGCATCCACCTATCACCAATAGTTCTCACTAAACTGTGTTCCTCAACACAACATCTGAATGTTCCCCTAACACCTCCCTGGCAGCCTATTCCAGCCTGACCACTCTACTGGAGAAGTAGTATTTCCTAATGTCCAACCTGAATCTCCCATGGTGCAATTTGAGGCCATTCCTTCTAGTCCTGTCACTGCTTGCATGAGAGAAGAGGCTGACTCCCACCTTCCTACAACCTCCCTTCCGGCAGTTGTAGAGAGCAGTATGGTGTCCACTAAGCCTCCTCTTCTCCAGACTGAACAATCCCATCTCTGCAGCCAAATTAACCTATTTGCTATGCTAATGTGAAGAAATGAGAGCCACTACAAACAATGCTTTTCTCTTCACCCCTTAGACCAACACTATTAATCCAATTTGATGCCTTTTTGTTGGTTTTATTGAACACAGAACCAAGAAGGACAAAAGTTTCCATCAGCTGTTTTCTAGCATTCCTTGTCACAGAAAAGATGGCTCGGAAGTAGTTGTGCAGAAGCAAAAGGTCATCATTCGTTCTTATCAATGCTGCACCTGAGTGGCAGGAAATGCATGTATGGTTTTTTTTTGATTGATTACTTTGATAATTACCTTTGTCGAGGCTGAACATGACAGTAGTGATCATGGGATATATAGTTATTATATATCCAACTGTATGACTGGGTATCTCCAAAGTCATAAAACGAAAAGCTTCACCTGATAGATCAGCTCTTGAAGAACTTAAAAGACAGTGCTAAGCAACTCCCTACGGAATTGGGCCTGAATGTCAAAACATTAAATAAAGTGCACAAATGAGGTCACCATGGCCAGATTTCAGTTGTTAGAGACTTCTGAGGGACATCCTCTTCAGGAAGCCTACTGACCATGACATTGTACTCCACGGTTTGCAGAAAGTATGTTTCTCAGCCATCCACAGCCTCACTCTGTGCTCACATTATGTATTTTGCTTCGATCCCTGAGCGTTCAACACAAACCTTGTCCAGCAGTGGCACGTGGAGGCCTGGAAATTGCCAGCTCTGAAGTGAAGCAAGAACTAGATATAAAAGATTGAACATTGAAAGGAAAGGGATAAGTCAGCAAGCCCAACTAATTTGCTATCTTCTGAGTTCAGAAAAACGTTTTTCATGAAAAGATTTCAGGAAATCAGATTATTTTGTTAAAACTATTGTGTCTCGGTGAAACCGTTTTTTAACATGGCCTTGAGCAGGAAGGACATGTGCATGCCATTCAGATGTGGTCCTTGCTGCATCACAATGATGAGATACAAAAGACTGTTCTCCACTAGCCAGGGCAGCAAGCTGAACCACACGCATTTACACAGCACGCCCTTTGGGTGAATCCTTTTCCTGGGATTTGGGTATTTTCCAAAGAAAACAGAATATAAACCTCCTCACCTAAACCACAGAACTTAAATCACCACCCTCTGTTTGCTACAGTTTTATTAATAGAGCAGCTGCATTTGCACTTACTTCCAAGGGTACTGGAGAACAGGCTGCTAGGACAAGGTGAAGTACAATGACAGTGGATGCGTATATCTGGGGTCTTAATAAGGATGGTTTCTGCATGAACAAAGAAGAGTTCAGCCCCACAACTGGGTTCAGCAGTTTGCTAAAATGAATTCGTACTGGGAAGTACTGAAGTTGTCACTAGAAACCAACAGAAGATGGTGTGATATGTTTTTTCCTTTAAAATCATAAAGTAAATGGGACAGCTGAAAAACGCTTGCTACACAGAAGAGATTTTGTAGCCAATGTAAGAAGTCCAGCACCTCTAAAACTGTACAATAAAATTTTATAAGACACAGCTGAAGAACTTCAGCTGTACATTATTTAATTAAAACACGTACAACGAGAGGAAAACAATGGGAATGGAAGTTTGTACTTATTTCCAGAAAATAGATTCATTTGACAACGTTCCAAGAGTAAACAAACATTGTAATGCAATTACTTCAGAACAAATACACACGAAGACACTGCAGTCCTATACATCGTGTTTCAGCCGTCAACAGCCAACTCATCTGCTCTGTAGCCAAGACGCTTGATTTACAGCACATGTAACAGCACACAGATGGTGAGATGCACGAAGTAAGATAGAATGTTACAAAACACTTGTCAAAATAAAATACACACGCAAATTCATCCCTAGTATTTACAACAAATTGTTTTAAATTAGAGATCGTTCAGAAGGCATCTCCTACACACTGATGCCACATATAGAAAAAAAGCAGAAAGGAGGTCGAGGAAAGGTACTGTGTTAGTTATGGCTAAAGACCTTTGGCTCCAAAACTCTGCTCTAATTATTTTCAAAAGACAGCTAAAACGCAGAACATTTAAGCAGTCTGTCTTTGAACTCCTTCACTACACCGACCACTAAAACTCAATGTGAAATTTAGCATGGCAAGAGCCACTTGTAAAACAATCTTATTATTTTATACATCAAATGCTCCCAGTTAGATGCAATTATGGTTTGGCATTATCCTAACTCAGTGGGAGCACATTTGAAGACAATTACATTTTACTGCATCTCATGCAAAAAGTCTGAGGTTGTCTGCTCAGCAGGCCATCAGGAAGGCTCTGGCTGTGCTTTAGCTAAATGAGGCACAAGTATGCTTAGTAGTTGCCCTAGAACATTTGACAGTAACTTATAGCAAACAAAAGTGAGTGGAAAAGACAGCTTTCTGAAGGTAAGTTTTGTCATCAGGAAAGTCAAGACTTTCATGTTCTGCTAAAGGACAGAGATGCTAGAGCTGAAAATTTTACATTTTATTAGCAGCTCTCTTCCCCACAGACTCTGAAATCAGACTGATCCCCGAGTAAACATTTGCCTTACTTGTTGGATAATGTAACTGTGTTTTTGTTTAACCGTAATTCATTTAAAAGATTATGGTGTAGTTCAAATTTGGCCTGCCTCCTTACATTTTATCAGTCTTGCTGTATAGCCAGCACATTCTTTGACCGACAAATATATAACCCAATAAAGTACAGTGTTGGTAGCCTCTTCAGCTATTGAAGATTGCAAAGACACAGAGGACATTATAAAACACATCTACAAGTAGGGCACTATATATAAAACTGTCCTGAGTAATTTGCACCATGAAACGTTTTCTCTTTTTGAAAGTTCTCTTAAGGGAAAAAAACAAAACAAAACAAAACAACCTGCTGCATCCAAAACCACATACAAACATTTCTGTTCATTGTTAGGGCTAAGGCACCAGCACTACTACATGGGAGGAGCCTTTATGGGCACTGATGTGACAAAAGATACATCCCAAAATCTTTTCATCAAAGACAAAATTGTGGATCTAACTCTCACAATGTCTCCAGGTCACTCTGGGAAAGTTTCTGCATGTAAACTGCAATCCAACTCCAGATGTGTTTGCATCTGGAACAAATCTTTCAAAATGTGGATACGAAATACCTCCACTTCCATGATACATGCACCGCTTTGGTTTGCAGGCCTGAACACGGGATGTACCCGTGAAAATGGATATGTAAGAAGCAGAGAAGGGTTGCTCAGTTACGTGGAAGGGCATGCATCCACACTGGCATTTGGAAGTCAGTTCATCAGTTTAAATTGAGCATGCCAAATTATCTCTTAGACAGCTTGTTTTAAACACAAGAACTGAACCCAGCCAGCTTTTGTCACCGTCCTTCTTGTGCGCTGTCTTTAAGCTGGGCTGTTGTAAATGTCAGTGCATATTTCCAGTTCCTAACTGTTTCAGGTCATCTTCTATCACTACAGAAAAGCACAAGCAATGAAGTTCACTATGGAGTGAACAATTTGGCTGAGCATCACCAGACTTTGCATTATTGCTGAGCTATATACACAAGGCATTTGAAATGTACAGTCGTCACAGATGTCATTTAAAATCAAAACTACAAACCTGCACTTTGCAGAAGTTGCAGAAAGTTACCGAATCACAAAACCATCAGAGTAGTGGGCTTCAACACTGATGGTAAGTAGAAAGTTAGAGGTAAGAATAGCAGTAGGAACAAATACATGTTTAAAATAAGGCTTTTTTTACATTGTTATTAAGATGCCTGGCCTCTAGCCCATTGTTTGTTCTTCATATATTACAGATTCATTACAAAGGTGATTGCATCCACTGTCAAAGAATACTCTTGGATCTACACTTATCATTTGATAATGCCCCTAATCAGCAGCATAGGATAAAGTATTTGAAAGACATTCAAAACAAATCAGTTCTGAAACATAAGGAGTCCTCTTTTCCTTCCATATTACCAATAGTCTTGCCATTCTTTGTGAGTTAGCGAGTAGAAATGATCAGTGCTGCAAATAGTGAGATCCTGTTTCTTCTTGGTGGCACTTAGAAGTTGTTCTTCCAGATCAACCCACAGCAATGCAGATCACATCCTGTGGATGTGACCAGAGCTGACTTTTCTCCAGCCAGATCCTTCCCCTTCCAGCACAGACCAATGACTCTGAGACAGAAATCCATCTTTGATCCACATAATTATTCTGTCCCTTCCAGTAAGGACTTCTCTTTCTTTGTGAAGAAATCTGGTCACAACTCATTGTTGATTTCCAGTATAGAAGAAGCATGGATCCAGACTGTTCTGAGAACTTAATGGAGACATTTCCATTACCATTCATCCATTTTCTAAGTGAAGCTACATGAGTACAAAGTGTGTGGGCTAAGTAGCATAGCCATCAGTCAGCAGTCAGCTCGTGCTGTCTCACCTCTGACATTGTACATTCACATTATCTCCATTAAAAAAAAAAAAACTTTTTTCACAGAGAAATAAGCATACTGGGAATATAAAGAAGCGTCTCCCAGGCTAAGAAGTGCACAAGAAGTGATATAAAAGCTCTATACTGAAGAGTATACATGCAAGCAGTATATTGCTCTGACTGAAAGAAATCAGAGATGCCCTGGGCGCCTCTTGTATCCACTTGTATGCAATAAATGCACACATCTTTGTAGTCCATTTTGCACTCTCTTCATGTTTCTATATGACAGAATAAAACTCCCCTGTTCCAATCTGGAATATGGTAAGGCCCTATGGGACATTCTCCTGCCACTTGGCAATTTAATAGAAAAAGACAGGAAGGATTAGGCATGTTATCCACCTGATTTTAATGGGCAGCTCTGCTTGGTTCTCCAAAAGGAGAAAACTCCCCCAAGATTCCTTGCTCACATACCCTTAAGGAAAAATCCCTCCCTGTACTAAATTTGGCCATCAGCGTAAGATTAAGAAAAATGAAATGTTACAATGACCTGCACAGTTCTATCATTACTTCAGCATAACTAAGAAACAGATCAAATACTGCTGCTTCAGAGTAACAGTAAGCTGTTTTTGTCCAAAGGAAACTGCTCTTCATTAGCAATGCTGACACTTGGCAACATTTACTTCAGAGCAGTGCTGAGCCACTTCATTATTCTTCTAGACAAAGTTTTATTTCTGGCTCAAGGGAGCCCACGGTTTTTCCTCCAAAACTGGAGATTCACTGAGCTTAAATACGCTTAGCTGGGTCTCCAAGGCCCTTCCTTGGAATAAGTCTCTCCCCATGCTGGCGCCCTTCACTTTTTGAACGGGGTGAGTTTGTTGAAGGTATGCCAGAAGAGGGATGGCTTCCGCTTGGGTTCTGCCAGGGCGAAGACCTGCTGCTGTGGGATGCTGGTGGGCACGGTGATGTGGCGCTGATGGATGGGATGCAAGCTCTGGTGCAGAGGAGGCACAGGACACCCATTATAGCTTACACCTGGAACAGGAAGAGTTGAAGAAAGTATGAGACAGCTAGCAGAGTTACCAGCAAGGGGAAAAATTGAGCATGGCATCATGGGACAGATCCGGTAGTCAGTAAAGACAGAATTTATTTTGCCATGACATTACATGAAAGCACTACTAGGTGTCACCTTCTCTGATGCACAACCTTTTAAATGCTGCGCTTATTTGTGTTAAGAATAACACCAGTACAAATAACTGGTACAAAAAACAAGCAACCATTTCACAATGCCTGGCAACATTATCCGTATGGGTAAATTTGCATATATCAAAGGGGAGATGCTTAAAAAAGTAGAACCTTTTACTGTAGTCAACCCCCAGATAAGACTAAGTAAAATGCCACCACCAATGAAAATATGTTTCTTCATTTTGGAAAATATTTCTGCAGGCAAATATCCTTAGACTTTGGACCTGGATATTCTGAACAGAATCTCCTGATCACAACTTTCAGCCACTCCCCTGGTAATCCAGAGCGGTTTTACAGATATCTCATGATTGCTAAAGTGCTTTAAAATAGCATTAATCCCAGGGAATAGAGATTAATTTACTCCTTTACTCCTAAATTCTGACTTGGTCTGTTCCCACTTGCTCTATTTATTTTCTCAACACACTCAGAAACTTACTCAAATTAAGACTGAAAAAGACAAAACCACATGATTTCTGAGAGGGAAAGAATAAAAAAAGTTTCCAGAAAAACAAGTTTCTACTCCTTCACTGTGCACTTCTAAGTAATTAGCAAGAGAGGACAGCAAGGAACTATTTTGACTATGCTGTTTATGAGCTCACCAACATGTGGCGTGCAGAAAGCATATTAAAAACTTTTCAATAGAAAGCACAGAATTACACAGAAGAGTAAATTGTCAGAATAAAAACAAAGGAAGGAAAAGGTAACTCTCATTTTTTATTTCCTCTCTACAAACGCTTTCTTACAGC